CTCATCGTTGTGCCAGCCGCACTCCTGGTGGGAGTAATTATAGGGTGGCTTGCGTGCCGTTATTTTCTCAAAGAACAAATTAAAGAATTGAAAAAGAAAATGGAAGAACCTGATAAAGAACAAGTGAGAAATATGTTATCCGCCTTAGGAAAAAAGCCTTCGGAAGAGCAAGTGAATAGATTTATTAATATGGCCAAAAATTCCAAGCAAAAAGCCCCTAATAAATCTAAAAAAAACCCAGTAAAAAGTAAAAAATAGAAGTATGCGGGTCAATTTATTTTTAACTTGTGGTAGTTGCACGAAAAGGCATCAAAATTATCGGACTTCCAAAGCCAAAAAACCCCAAGGGGAGAAATTAGGTTTAAAAAAATATTGTAAATTTTGTCAAAAAACAGTAAATCATAAAGAAGAAATTATTAAGTAAGTAATAAAATTAACCAGTTTTTCAATTTGGATCAGGAAATACCAAGTTTTAATTATTCCTTGCTAAAATTTAGATAAAAGCCATGATAAGCCAAAAAGAAGTTAGCCAAATTGTTCAAAAAAGGTTAGATAATTTATATAAATCTGCTGAAACTATTGAAATTAAGGAAGCACAACAGGAAATAGTTAATTTTTATAGTAATCTTCGTGATTTTCCGGGTTGGAAAGAAAGAATGGATGCTGCTGAATTTGAGAGAAATAGAAAATATTTCCTTGCTCAATTAGTCGAAATCAAAAATGCCTCCTTAACCAGTGATAAAGGAAAAATTAAAAAAGATCTCGAAAGCAATGGATTATTTCTTTCTGATTTAATTCAACTTTATAACCAGCATAATAAAAGTGAAAAAGAGATAGTTGAAGAGGTTCGCGAAGGGTTTCTGAATGGAGAAGGCCACAAAATGCGAAACTGAACTCTAAATTCCCAAGAAAATTCTGCTTTTCAAGACCCCGCCATCGATAACTTAGGTAGTATGAGAGAATTAGAAGAAATAATTAATGAATTAAGAGAAATAGATAATGAAATTAAAAATGGCAGAAATCCATTTTTTCACCTAAAAAAGTTAAAAGAATGACAAGGTGTCTCCCCTGACACTAATTTAGGGAAAGCAGTCCAGGCTTTAAACAAAAACGGAGATTTATTAAATAATGCCATTAACTCTTTAATAAAAAAGAGTAAGGAAAGCAAAGAAAAAATATTAAATTCTCTGTCTGATTGGCAATACGAATGGAACATTATTCGTAATATTAAAAACAAAAATTCTCTTATTTGTAAAAATGGAGAGGTTGATAGTTGAGTTTATCCGGTCATTTTCCTTTCAGAAGAAGATTTCCAAG